TCTTTAGCTCTGAACTTCAGCGACTTTAGACTTAGGGTCGTATTCTAGAACTCTACTCAATGCTCAAGTCAGGATTGCAATGGAAACACAAGCACTGGAAATACGACCCTAATGGCAGGGACTTGAGTATGATTTCGAGTGCTTTAAACCATACTCAAATCCTGACTTGAGCATTGAGTCGAGTTCTAGAATACGACCCTTAGACTCGCGCAAAACCTCGAATATCGTAGAAAAAAATATATATATAATAACGCGCACACACTCATAGCCCAGCACTAGGGAAACCCTGTGTCGCGGGTGCCATGGACACACACATAGACAACGACAAATTACACCCAAACTCACGAGAGCAATAAAGTAGACCGTACAAATATTTCTCCCGGTCCCGGAATCGAACCCAGGACCTCTGCGTGGTAGTCCGTTAACCGTTCGGCCACGGAAGCAGTTGCCTTATTTGCCTCAATTTGCTACTTTAGAGTGCAAAAATGACAGTCACATTGTAATGAATTATCTATGGTGGTGTTTCATATTATCGTTAAGTCTTATGCTATTTAATTTGGAAAAAGTTTAAATTTAAATTTTTATTGAATTGATATTCAATTATTTCTGTGAAATTACTCCACTAGTTTGTTATAATTATTAATACAAAGATAGACCGAAGGAATTTTTTCTGAGTGTTCGACTCAGAAAAAATTCCTTCGGTCGATCGGATTCGAACCGACGTCTTCTAGCATACCGTGCTAGACGCTATACCAACTAAGCCACGGAACGAACCAGCGGACCTCACGAATTTTTCTATGTGCTTGTTGTCGTGTCTTTGTATTTGGATTTTCAACAACTGTTCAACCGTAGCGCCATCTATGAGAAATCTATGAAATTTAAATTTTCTGTTTATCATAATATTTTTTTGTTACAAGAAACGAAAGTAAACCGTATGCCGCTTCAATATGATCGCTTCTTTTTTGGAGAACTAAGTAAGCATCTCGAGATCGTAGTCGTTCAGCTATTAACCGCTAGATGGCAGCATATTGATTGAAATTTAAATTATTAATATATAAAATCAAAACTAATTCACTTGCAATAATAGGTGTTGGACTTTCAACGATGTACCAACGGAGTAAAGTTTACATTATATTAACAGTCCAGAATTTGTTATTTCTTTTAAACGACCAGTCATTATCAAAATTTCATTGTGTTTAAATCATAAATGTTTGAGTTTTGGCGATAGCGGTTCTGACAGTAATCGAGGCATAAGACTTCATTATTTTTTCTTCCGTGGAAGTAAGTCGGCAATGCCAGGCGCCTACCGCATACATCAAAAGTGTACAATTATTTCAAAATAGGAATGTGTCGGGATATAACATTTACGTCGGAAATGGTTCACTCTTCGAAGACGTGTAAAAACTCCGACCCAAATGAACCACCATGGTCGACTCCGTCCTAAATTCCTCTTAAAGGAGATCCGTGCACGGCAGTGAGATGTATCTGTAAGATTACGGTATCTTGATTGGTGTTTTACCTTCCTCGCAGGCCGGATGAGCGATCACTGCGAAGCCGTCCGCGTGATGTCCACCCGTTGTTTCGCGTCGCTTATCCAACTGATGCCCCTCGATGGCGCTATTCCCGAGCCAGCCGGTCTCTCAGCAGAGATGAGAGCACGAAGAGCTAAGGACAAACATTTCCTCGAGCAGCTTTTCAACCCAAAATCGATTAAGGATTATAAGATTCCTGTGCCTGTCTCTGCTGAGCTTCGAAGTTATCAACAGGTAAGTAGTTACCTATTATGATGGCGTGATACTGTTATCAAGCCATCCATAGTAGTTTGGGTGATAACTGTTCATCACTAAAACTACGTACACAATGTATAGTCTGTGTGCCCTGCAGCAGCGACTGGTTTGGGCTCATTTACTGTTGGGTAATTTTCCTAAAAATTTCAAATAGTGAAAAATTTCCGGGAAAAATTTGTAGAAAAATTGAAAAAATAAAATTCGAAGACTCATTATGTTCTACATTTATAAAGAAAGAAAGATAAATGTCTTTTAAAGTTTTATTTAACGTGAATTAGGAAATAAAATTGTCTACCTGAAAGCAAGTTACAGTCAAACAAGATTTAAAATGATTGGACAACAGCGAAAAAAAGAATCGTAGGTAAAAATCTTAATTCAAAAGTTCTGCCGTTTTTCAGTTCAGTATCTTCAACTTTTGACAAGTGTCAACTGTCAAACATGGAAAAATATTTAATTTTCTGTAATATATGAATTTCAGTGTGAAATATTGCGACAAACCTTTATTGTGACAAACCACAGGCGGGCGTGAACTGGCTGCGTTTTCTTAACGAGTACAAGCTCCACGGCGTGCTTTGCGACGATATGGGTCTCGGCAAGACGCTGCAAAGCATCGTCGTGATGGCTGGCTCGCACTGGGAGAGGGCTCAACAACGGTTACCCAATTTACCCTCGCTTGTTGTCTGCCCGCCTACGTTGACTGGTCAGTCTTAGATATCGAGTATATAACCAGAAATAGAGAGGAAATGTCATTTAATTTGTTTGAAAACTATTCTGCCGTATCATTACTGTGCCAACTGCGCTCCGATTGGCTAGCCCGAGTTCGAAACAATTGACGGGTGTCGTCAACTGTTTCACTTCAAATCGACCACTTAACTTGAGCTTTGCTATAATGGACGAAAATTGCTTAATTACATATTTAATATTTAATTACCGATGAAATGTGATTCCGTTAGTTTTGTAATTAGATATTTTGCTGTTTTTTCCACACCACCGAATAGAACAGCACGGCATTGTTAGAGATATTATCTTTATTACAATAAATTCAGAATATTTTTTGGATTATACTGAGACGTACATACAGGTCAGTAGTTGGCCTGTCTATATTTCTTTACAAACGGGAGTTGATATTTATAAGAGCTGTATCGCTAAGGTGTTACCAGGAATATAAGGCCCTTACTTCATATCTATTTCTGGTTACATACTCAATGGTCTTAGATTAAAACTGCCTTATATCAATACCCTCACTAATAAAGTGAACAAATTAAAAAAGAAACTTTTGCCACAAAAAAAAAACTAAAACGTACGAAATAAAACTTATAAGTGTTTGGCCATATATTCCGTACGTTATTTTTTTTTGTATGGTAATTTGTAAATGTTCGAAACATTGCTCTTTAGTTTACGTAAGAGCATTTGCGCACTACATCCGATTCGTATCAGGGGGTCTACTCTCGATCTCCGTCCGACATCCGTCCGAAACAATTGCTGCCAAATAAGCAATACTAGACCAAATGAAAAGACGCGTGATGCGAATGAAGCTTCATACTGGATACTTGTCTTTTAATTTTGTCGAATATTACTTATTTGACAGTAATTGTTTCGGACGGATGTCGAACGGAGATTGAGAGTAGCCCCCTCGGAACGAATACGAATCGGATGCATGTTATATCTAATAATTGGCCACAAAGAGTGTTGCAAAGACCTAGAAAATAATAATGAATACGTTGATAGAATTTTTTTTTCTTTTTTCATTTATAAATTTTATGTCCATTGCAGGTCACTGGGTGTTCGAAGTGAATAAATTCATTCCCACAAAACTGTTAAAACCGCTTCAATACGTCGGCCCACCTGTGGAACGCGACCGATTACGTCTGCAAGTGAAATACCACAACCTGATCGTCGCGTCATACGATATCGTGAGGAAGGACATTGACTTCTTCAGCCGTATCAAATGGAACTACTGCGTGTTGGATGAAGGACATGTCATTAAGAACGGGAAGACAAAAGCTTTTAAAGCTATCAAGCAGTTAGTCGCCAATCATAGATTGATATTGTCCGGAACGCCAATACAGGTGAGTAAAATATTCGAAAATTTTGGATAAATCTTTTTTTTATAATATCAAGTGACGGCACGAGGAAGTCGTGAGTCTGGCGATACGCCTGTTCATAACAGTTGCAGTACCACTCAGTGCTTCAAATCGCAAAGATCTTAGGGGCACTGCCGCTGCGCCTGTCACCCTGAGACATAAGTTGACAAGTCCCATGTGTCTGTAATTTCACCAGCACCCTTAGCCTTCAAAACCGGAACTCTGTAATAGTCACATTACTTCTTGGCGGCAGAAATAGGTTAGGAGCAGTAGAGCTCGTCATGAAATATTTTGTCCAGGGAAATACTGCCAGCTTACCTATTTCTGCCGCCAAGATAATGTGACCATTACTGTGTTCTGGTTTGGAAGGGTAAGGGTGCTGGTGAAATTACAGGCACATGGGACTTGTCAATTTCCGTCTCAGGGTGACTGGTGCAGTGGCAGTGCTCTGAGTGGCACTGCAACTGTTATGGACAGGCGTGTAGCTTACCATCAGGCGCTCGACTCGTTCGTCCCGTCACTTGATATTATTTTAAAAAAAGGCGGCAGTACTTCCCTGGATGAACTCTTTCACAAGGAGCTCTATTGCTAACAAGATGGCCATCGTGCAATTGCGGTATGTCTAGGTCGCTGGTTCGAGTCCAACCGTTTCTTTGTATTTGTTCGATCTGTGCATCAAAATATAAACGATTGTGTCAGAACAACGTACTGGAGCTGTGGTCGCTGTTCGACTTCCTAATGCCGGGCCTGCTGGGCACGGAGCGGCAGTTTACGGCGCGCTACTCGCGGCCCATCCTCGCGGCGCGCGACGCCAAGGCCACGCCGCACCAGCTGCAGGCCGGCGCACTGGCCTGCGAGGCCCTGCACAGACAGGTACGGGCCAACATTCACTTATATCAATACGTAAAGCCAAAGTCAAATAATTTAATAAATTATTTATGCTGGGTGTAAGCTGCATAAAATAGGATTTTCGGCTCTAGTGCATAAAATAAAAAAAAACAACACATTAAATATGTCTAATTGTTGCAATTTTACATTCAATTTTAATTAAATAATCGTATTATGTAATGTTGCTGTTTAATTTCCTCGTAATCGAAATGACAAGCAGAGTGTATATAACTCGTTCATAAAACCCATTGTAGCCTCGACTTTCTCGCCTGCGGCTCGGGTGAATATACTCGTCTCGGGTAAAATGACGCGTTTTATGCGCTTGTTGTACAATCTACTATTATTTCATAGGTAAGTAAATTACACTTCAAATCGTCATACTGATTAAACTCTACTGCTCATTCGTAAGGCAGATTCCCCTGAGAAGAATGAGTAAGATACTCTAGGAGTTGCTCTTTGTAAATATACATTTGAATACATTTGTCATTACAATATTTAATTTAAACGTCTTAGATCGAGAATACCTGAACGAGCTAAACGGGTCAAGTACGCAGAAGTTGTATAATAACCTTTAGTATAAAGTTTTTGTTTCACAATAGTTTAAATTGTAAATGGCAAATTTTTAATATCAATCGGAATCGCATTATAGAAGCGTATACATTTCCCCTTAAATGAATTTGAGACTTTATGAAGACGACTGTCAAGGACAGCTAGTATAATTTTATTCCTTATATTAACGTTATGTCTGTCAGTACTTAAAAAAAAACATTTTCATAAATGTATTGTGACGTTAGTGTAAGAATGATCTCTTTAAACTTATCTATATACTACTTATAGTTTGGAACCTCAATAGTGAAGTGAGGTAATTGGAAAATAAAACGAACTCGCAATGAGACATCCGCGGATAATATTTATTTGGGTAAATATTTTGCGAACATCTACCCACAAACCAGAAAAGTGTTACAAACGACCTAACGTTTTATGCCCGTATAAACTTCTTTTATTGGATAATGAATTCTACAGTGTCGATGAGTTCTTTTGAAACAATTGTAATTTTGTTCTACATGCTTCGTTGTATTTCGACAGGCAGTAGTTATACTACTTTATTTTATATTCATTATTGTTGTTTGCGTTAGTGACTATCATATTATCTGTTGACATTGTATTTTGAACTGTAATATTGTGATATTGATAATATGAAATAAATGATTGTATTCTAAACATCATGACGTATATTACTGGTAATACGTACGTAATTTTTTCAAATCTATTTGAAGTTTCTCAAAAAATGCTTTTTAAATTACGTCACTATTATTAGGGATTTTACGATTTTGACGAATTTGAGGTTTTCTTGTGGCTCTACTGAGTCTCGACTTATTGAAGGTAAAGTTCACTCTGTAAAGCTTGTGTATGGTATCAACCAGAACGGCATACACATTCTGTTTCAATAGGATAATAAAATGAAATATATCAAAAAATTGTGCATCTAGAGTGAAATCCATGTCTTTTAAGTCTGCCAATCCAAAAATGTATCTATTTCGTATTGTCCTTATTACGAATTTTCCGTTATTGTATTATTTTAACAGGTCCTACCGTTTCTCCTGCGCCGAGTGAAGGAAGACGTCCTCAAAGAACTACCGCCGAAAATAACTCAAGACTACTACTGCGACCTTAGCCCTCTTCAACGGCGTCTATACGAGCACTTTTCGCGCGAGCATATGCCTCATGACATCAACACGTCCAGTCATACGCACGTCTTCCAGGTTATAATGTTATTTGGTATTTTTGCACATGCGTAATTTCATAGCAAAGTATAAGGTGTAAGGGTGTGTGAATCAAACACGAGAACTGAGTAAAGACTGGTCTGTACTTCCTAACCTCTGAACTATAGTCTATTTCAAGAATTGAGAGTAAACGTAAACAAACCAGTTGGGTTAAAATTCTGAAGAAACCACTCACTATATGGAATAAGTAACACTTTTATGTGTATTTTGTAGGTTTCCACTAGATATCTCACCACTTTTTCCAACAATATTCGTTTGTTCTGCATTATAAAATCATAATTGAAAAATCTTCGCCGAAAACTGAGATTGATTTGACAATCCATAGTCTAGAATGTCTATGGTTGCATAGGGATGTACGGAAAAAAGTTCAATTGAGTGAATCATAGTTTGAGTAAGTGATTGCCTCAAGAGTCACCAGAAACTTACGTCTTGAAGTCATTTGACCAACTCTTATTTCTGTACCGCTTACAAACGATTTAGCGACTTGTTAACTATCAAGTATTTTCATAATTTTCTGTATTTAACTGATAGCTTCTAACTTTTAAACAATAAATGTCAATAATCGTAAATAAAGAAACGTTTTTATATGTATCACCTTCAATCAATTTACAACGGTCAAATGCGCGGAATTCACTTGATGTTAGTCCAACAGATTCAATTGATCGATCTGATTCATTCAATAATTGATTAGTAAATTACTCTACAATTGCCCATCACTAAACCGACTATGGTCGGGTCAATGCACTCAATGTTTACCTTTACTCTCAATTCATTTGAAACAGGGTAAACCTACCATTACATGACATAAAATGATAATATCAAAACCTCTACAGTAGAGTCCTGTATTGGCCTTCAAGTTACAACTAATGCCAACCTGGGGTCCTAAAAAGGCTGCATTGGCAGAATCAAAATATGATTTAATTGACAATTATTTTCAAACAAAATAAAAAACTTAATTCGTCTATTTGACAGTATTCTATGGCTCTCTTAGACGATGGAAAAAAATAAAGGAAGGCTGTTCCCATAGAACACTGTCAAATAGATGAATAGCGTTTTTTGTTTCGTTTGAAAATTCATAATATGAAATGTCAATTAGATTTTTTTAGGCCTTCTTAGGCCCTCTGAAGTTTTATTGTTACCTAAAAATGTCAACTAAAAAATTTAACCGAGCCGATTACTGAGGTAGCTGCGCAATGTGGGAGGAGTGACGGTTTATGTAACAGTTATGTCGCGCTGCACACAGGATAATTTCGTCGGTGTTTTGTAGAAAGGGCGACAGCGCCATTTCGAGAATTTTTTTTTTCGAAAAATGGCGCTTTCGCCTCTTAACAATGGAAAGTCTTTAATAATGAAAACCGTTGCAGGCGCTCCACTACCTGCAGAACGTGTGCAATCATCCCAAGCTGGTGCTGACCCATGACCACCCCGAAGCCGCCAAGGTGCACCAACTTCTCGTTGCGCAGAACTCCAATCTCGACGACATCGAGCATTCGGCTAAACTGCCCGCTTTGAAGTTAGTATTTTTGTGTAATATAAAATCTATATTTACGTGCAGGTCTATAAATAAAATCGGAAAAAAAAAGAGTTCCAGAATTGTTGAATTACTAGATTTTTATTAATACAAATTCATCTACCAAAATATATCCGTTCTATCGGATGAGGAATCCACCGCAACCCTTGCCCCCTGGACCTTCTTTCTCATAGTGCCTACAGTTCAAACCGTTGAGCTTCCATGGTCGTCGTACACCATAATTATTATATGTTTTGAAATCGCATAATTTCTTATTGTGTCGTGCTTCTTTATTTTAGGACTATATTACTTTGAGTACTATATATATAAAATCAATTTTGCCACCTTGATTGCATTATCCAATCGCATATTAAATTAGAAAACCGGCTCCACACGTCTCTATGGCCGATCTTTGTGTGGAATTATCTCAGCAAGTGTATAAAACTGTGTTTTTTTTTACTAAATATCGTCATCGTTGCGTCCCAATGGAAACGGCAGCGCACACGACGTTGTACTTGCAACCATCCTGTCGTACTTTGTTTTTATTTGTTGTAAATTCGAAATTGTGAATTCCAGACAACTCCTCTTAGACTGCGGCATAGGCACGACAAACGAAAACGCCGAAGCGGAAGTGATAGTGTCTCAACACCGCGCATTGGTCTTCTGCCAGCTTAAGAAAATGCTTGACATCGTCGAGAAAGACTTGCTGAAGAAACATTTACCCTGCGTTACTTATTTGCGCCTCGACGGAAGTGTGCCGCCACATCAGAGGCATGAAATCGTGACACGATTCAATACAGATGTTTCCATTGATCTGTTATTATTGACTACTCAGGTAAGTTTCACTTATACAACACTATGGTGGTTTAAAATTATATTTTAGTACATATTTTATAAGCGTTAGTTAGTGTAAAATTCTCCTCAATCAATACGCAACGGTTGAACACTTTTTAATGCTTCAAATGTTGAAACATTAGTGGTTAGTGAACTAAACAATACTATATTTACAAAAGTAGCAGTAGAGCTCCTTGTGAAAGATTCCGTCCAGGCAAGTACTGCCACTTTACCTATTTCTTCCGCCAAACAGTAATGTGAGCATTCAAAGTTCCCTAAATCATACTCAAGCGAAACTACTGTTACTATTTGCCGCGAAACGTTGAGTGACACGTCATCATATTTAAAAAACCATTTGTCAGATCACGATCCGGCAGACTGTTTCGTAGAAAGATACGTTGCAACGTGCAGAAGCAGTATCGAATGTTGCCGAACTGTGACAAGGAATCTGGAAACTGTAGAACACACATCGAGTATATAACCAGAAACAGAGACGAAATGTCATTTACTTTGTTTGAAAACTATTCTGCCAAATGATCACGGTGACAACTACGGAGACGTACACACAGGTCAGTTGTTGGCGCTGTACTATTTCAGCTTTCTAATTTGTGACTTCAGCGCAAACGAGAGTTGATATTTAAATTCATATCAGTACCATTTGACTGATGAGTTGCCAGGGATGGATGACCCTTATTTCATCTCTATTTCTGGTTATATACTCGATGAGAACATAACAATTTACGACAATTGCACGAGGTTATTTTTAAAGTGCAAAACTTCCACAGTAGCCATGCAAGTTTTGTTGACAGTGGAAAGCAGTTCGAGCACTTGGTGTTAATGTTATTAAAATTTCTATGTGTTGAGAAATGTAAGATTTTGAAACAATTTGCCACATTCATATGTACCATTGCGGGACACTTAACTCCGACTATATGAATGTGGAACCTAACGAACAATGCACAAGTTCCATACAGTCCTGGATCAGCTAAATAGAAGTTGACGACCATCAATCGCATATACAGGTTTCATTTGTATTTCCATATGGTTTCTAAATTACACTGGATTTATATTTTTTTTAACTAGGTAAAGTTGATTTAAGCAACATTCTCGTTTTGAGGTTATGTTAATAGTGAACATTAATGTTACTTTGTAGTATAGACTTAAATATTATTCGCTTATTATTATTATTGAACGCGTATATTAATTAGCATTTACATTTTTGACATTTTATTTTAAGCTTCGTTTATATTTGACGTAATTTCTCTATCGTTGAGACCAGTGTAAACGAGGCTTAAAATAAAATGTCAAAATGTAAATCACGCTACACTTACCATTTATAAACAAATATTTACAGTGCCTAAAAAAAACTTTTTTCTCCGTTTCAGAGTTTTATGAATGAAACTAATATTGTATTGTAACGTATTTTGAGATGGGTACACATTTTCAACCGGTCGCGAATACAAACTTTGCGAGGTTAAAATGGGCATTGTTCTTTAGCTAAGAGGCATTGAAAACTATTATCACTCAAAAAAGTGATATCTTGGAATTGGCTTCTGTTTAGAAAAACTTTTTAAAGAAGCAATACTTGGATATAATTTTAAATAGTCATGTAGTAGCAGCTAGAAGGCAAAATCCACCAAAAATGTCTGAATTATGAATGATACGACGTTCTAATGATACTAATTTATTAATACTTAATATTATTATTTTTATGTCTCTTCTTTATATTTTTATTTTTTTGTTTTTATTTTTTAATTTAATTATTTTTTATTTTTAATAGGTATAGTTCGAAATGCAGTGTATGTATGGACTTACAAAAATTGACAATTCAAATGAACCTGTGCCCAGCAGTTGGACGAATAATGGGCTATTGATTGCATGAGCATGACCGATATTCAGTTTAAAGTCGATAGATTTTTATCGACTGCAATCATTAGCTGCTTGCAAGCGGGCAAACTTTTGGCGCCACGAACTGTCATTTTACTTCATCTTAAAAAAAGACAGGCTATACTTGGTTCTTTTCACAAAAACTATGAATACGATTTTTTAAAATAATATTTTTCAAGGGTAATTGATGTATGGGAGGCTCGAGAGTTGTGCCAGGATAAAGTGGCGTTCCGTGGTCTCTACCTAGCCCTCATGTGGGACTAGAGCATTACCTTATATATGTTTGTATTCTTTCAAGTTTGTTTCAAAGTGGGTTACATTTTGTATTACCTTATTTTAACTTTTGGGGACAGCCTTTATAAGAAATAATGAACGGACCTAACTAGTGTAAATGCTGTTGTCTACTATACTCTGGTATTCCGCCAAGACGTCACAGATCATCTCAAACAATGTAATGGCTTTATCAATATGGTTAGTCTTCACTTTCGAAATGTTACTTATGTTAATAATTTTTGTTTAGGTTGGCGGTCTCGGTCTGAATTTAACAGGCGCGGATACGGTCATCTTCGTGGAGCACGACTGGAATCCGATGAAGGATCTGCAGGCGATGGATCGCGCACACCGCATTGGACAGAAGAAGGTCGTCAACGTCTACCGCCTTGTCACCAGGGACACGCTGGAGGAGAAGATAATGGGGTGAGCATACTTTACAATTTGAAAGGCAGAATTGTCGTGTCAAACCAAAACACTGTATGTTTGTATGTCTGCAAAGTCAATTATAATGGCTACATAGAATTCTTTTAGTATTTAATGTATGTACACAGTGTGGTTAAATGTATGTTTTGTGTTCATTGACTTATCAACAAATGGACGTCCGGTCTAATACAAAAACCACGAAAAAAATGTTCGAAGTTAACCTATACAAACGTAGTGACATGTAACGAAATATAAAAACCTAAAAATTTAATTTAAATTGTAACATCATTGCAGTACTGCCTAATTTTGCTTGCAACAATTTAAGGCCCCGAAAACACCATACTCAGCTTCTACTGGAAACTTAACAAAATGCACTTTATTTAGCTTCGACTGAAAATTACTTGAACACAAGAGTAATGCAGTAGCCTTTATCCTAAATATTAATTAATTTTTATATATATTATTATGTCAAATTTTGAACAAATTCACTTAAAGGAATAATAAAGAGTTGAGCAGATACATACATACCAATATTACTACATATGTGAAAATAAGCGTGTACTATAAGAAATGTACCGATATTCCAACTAAACGTAAACTCAAATATCCGTAATTCCGAAAATTGATTTATAATAAAACCATTACGCTTTCGATTAATTTTGATGCTTTTCACTAAGGCAAAATTAGCTTTTGTTTTGTAATTTTTCTAAAAAAATACATTTGATATTATGAAAATTCGAGCTAACGTTATTTCGGGCAAATGTAGTTTTTGACTTCTGATAGGTAATCCCAAGGCGTAAAAGGAGTACAACAAAATTTTGTTAGTTATTGATAACGTTTAATAAAAAAATCATTTTAAAAATAAGATTAAAATCAAAGCGACTCTATAGTTTCTTTGTTCTAAATTGAGTGGTTCGAACAATTGAAAATGACCAAGAAGTTTATATAAGCTTCTTGAAATTGACGTAATGGGTCTCTTTCCATCTTTTGCGTATGCAATGTGTTGCAAAAGGACAGTTAGCTATTTGATTATTTTATGTGCTTTTGTAATTATTTGTATTATACTCACGATTCATTTATATATAAATTTCATTAAATACTATAAAACTGTACAAAATAACACTTTTAAATGAGAACTATGATAACACAATATATTTGTTTAGTGACAATATGATACAGAATCTGTTCTTACACTTTACTGCAGTAATTTTTACAAGTGATTATTATATAGTACTGCATGATTGACAACCGCGTTGTCAGTCGAACAAACGAAGACTGTTGACTCTGTATGCGATTTTAACGCCCTATACGTGCGGACACTTTTTAGCGCGAACCCGACGTCCATTTATTGGTAGGTCAATGTTTGTGTTGTTAAAAATTTATGTTGTTGAAAAATTACAAAAACAAAAAATCCTTTTTGCAACATTTTTTCAAAATGCTGTTTTTGGTATTTTGACACGGTAGAGGTGGAGTGCCAACTTTATATTTGCATCTACGAGTATAATACAAATTTGTTTGAAAATTAAGTTTAGGACAGCAAAGAAGACCAATAATAAACTACAATACAAAAATTATTATTGTATGTACATCGAAATCTATTTCTGTCAGACAACCTTTGGATACTAAATTTGACTAACTTAGCTTTGGATAGTAATTACATAACAGATAGGTAAAAGAGTGCCTTGACTACAAAAGAGAATAGTAGGTGATTCGAGATCGATAAATTGTTCAAAATACCAAGTTATAAGGACCAAAGCGATTTCTGACAAAACATAACTTTAATTTATTACAAATACAATCTAAATGAAAGTTTTTTTAAAAATCCACGTATGTATTCGTGTAACTAGATACAAAAACTCGTTTCTCTGTGTTAGCACACAATATTGTATTTAAAAATAAAATGTGTTGTCCCAACACAGCGTAGTAGAAAAAAAATATGAATCGAGCTATGAAAATATGTTTTTTCCGTCAAAACTGTAAACTATAAGGACGATTTATCGCATTGGTTTAAGAAAAAAGCTTTGGAGGGAGCGCAATGGCGTTCATTGCATCGACAAGGACCTGTTTCAGATTCATGATTTTTTCGGAACAGTTGGACATTTGCTAATATAATATCTATTAGAATTTTGTCTTTCAGTTCGCTCTTTAACTATCGTAAGATTTTCGGAGCATTATTGTGTATGTCATATTCGTATATCTTGAAGCAATAGTTGGTAGTAATCTTCGAATTATACTTCGTTTCAATCCATTTTAAACAAAAAGTAAGTAAAAGTAACTAACAAGTCACTGGCCCGACCATAGACGGTTTAGTGTTGGCCAATTGTAATGCAAACTCAAAATCGATTAATTTAATTGAATGAATCGATTTGTTTAATTGAGTCATACTAGCAGTTTTCCTTACATGAATAGCAAAAATACATAGCCTATAAAAGCATATATTTAAAATTTCCGAAATCTTAATTTTAAATCTTCCTTCAAAACTTTACACTTTGATACTCTTTCGATTGCGATTGAAATTTTCGATTTACCAATCGATTACAAAAAGTTTAATTGAATGAACGGAATGTTTTTCTTCGTACAGCACTATGCTTCTCTATTATTACAAATCCTATGACTATAGAAGTATAGTTAAAAAACCTCACTTTTGATCTACGATTTTTCAAATACGATTTCATGATGTTGTTCAAATTAATATTGTTGAAAAAAGTGATGAGATACCAAGTTGAAAACTACGTGAAATATACGTGAAAGTGTTACTTATTCGATTTATTGATTGTTTGCTTTAAAATTTTAACCAAAAAAGTTTGTTTTCTTTTTGTTGAAAATGGATTGCAACAGACTATAAGAACACCTTAGATCTTTTTGACGATATGAAAAAAAAAATTATCGATGTAAACACAGTTGCGTATTAGCGACACCGTGTATCTCTAGGCTAGGACGCATGACGGGTTAATAAAACTTTATTGGTGTGGGTGATCCTTCACACGTATTGCCGTGTGCGTGGCTACTGGTAGGCGACTCCAATGATGAAAATAAATCGTCTCCAGGTTACTGTTTATGTTGGACATAGTTGATTGAGCTCTTCAAACCGTATTTGAGCCCACACATGGACGACCATATCCACAACAATCGTAGTTAAAAACATTTGAGCCCGTTGACGGGTCTAAGCGTTCATACAAAAATACCAAAGTATTCTTTATTTTTCAGATTACAAAAATTCAAGCTCCTAACAGCGAACACAGTGATAAGTAGCGAGAACGCTGCAATGGAGACGATGGGCACTGAACAGCTCCTAGATCTGTTCCAACTGTCTAGCGGGCAGTCTCAACCGCAGCCGGGACCTTCTACCGGCAAATCGGTACTCGACGCTTTACCCGACCTGTGGGATGACAAGCAATACGAGGAGGAATATGATATGACTAATTTTATAAAAGGATTGAACAAGATGAATCCTTAGAAACACACAACTGTGACATCGGCCTACCAAGGTTACCGGAAATACATACGTACCATCACGCCTGTCTCACTGGAGTAGGTGGAGATCATAAACCTCTCGCTACGCTCCCGTCAAACCTCTTTTACCTCCTCCACTGGCATAAGCTCCCTCACACATACCCTTTTATTCTTGGTACTTTGTGATCTCGCCGTACGTATCTCGATCAGATTGGGAATATTCTGAAAAGGCCAGTTTAAAAATACAGGAAATAAAGCATGATCGGCACAGTAACTGGTATAATACATGAATAGGGAGTGTCCAGTGAATAGTGAATTATAGTAAATAGGCTATTTAACAGTGAGTATGTATTGCACAGGTACAATCATCGTCTTCAGGTGAAATCGCAGACAAACGTAAACGGAAGTAATTTTTTTTATATCCAATTCCAAACGAGTTATAAAACATTTTCTTAGATCGTTGATTTTGGTCTAAATGTTCGCTCTGAATGCAGTGCAAAAAGCAAAACTTATTTTGCTTTGATGTTTATTTAAATCGTACGGTAAATATTATATGTAATTCCTTAATATAAGAAACTAATTATCTTTCGTAGGATCACAGTTTTTGTAATTCTCTAAAAAAATTATTTTGTCAAAATTAGGATACAGTTGGCCCTTTTCTATGAAAATATACGTGCTCCCGACTCGACTCTCGTCATTCGGATCTAGATCGTTATCTACTGAATGTAATTGGCTAATTTACCTAATCAAAGTCCGTTTGTACGTAGTGTGGGACTGTAATCTTAAATATCATTCACTATATACCGGACAGGGCACCCTGTATATTTAGTACTTCTCAATCTAGTAACAGAGAAATTTTGTTAAAAAGCAATTTTCTACCGACAGCTTTACACTGTTGCCTTAGAATTAACCATTGGCAATTATTAGAACAATAACAATTGAATTAAGTATAGTAGGTATTTGGTAAGTAGTGTGCGATATAAGAGGCTTTGGAAGAAAATATGAATAAATTATTTACAAATCTATTTATTCTTCTCCTTCTGTAAAGTAATGCCTGTCATTAAATGACGCATTTTAAAGATTACAAATACACTTATCAAAATTTAATCAATTTGACACTTTGTTATGATATAATTACAAATAGCACCCTTTCTGTAATAAGGCCACATCTGCAAAATTACAGCTTTTCAGGAAAGGTTTATAGAGTCTATGAACGAAATTAATCGATGACTTTTATGCTTTAATAGAAGCGTTATAAAATTTCACATACACAATTTCTTTTCATGTTATACTCCGCCCAACCATTTATTCAACAATTTGACAGCTCGAATTCTAATCAATTAGTGATGTCCTAATGCGTTTCCGATTCGATTTTTTTATAACAATCGATATTTTTTAGTTAACTCGTGAATGTGAGGGGGTTCAAGAAAGAAGATATTGTCTGATTGTGATGTTGCGTTTGACAATTTCTGTACTCAAGAATTAATGTTAATGTTGATTCAATTTAAGTGACAATTCCCGTTCATATGGAGAAGAATCCGACGATTCATTTATAATAAACAATAAACGTTTATTAATCTTCGCTACATAATCTGTTGGCTCGGCAAATATCGGATCTAAAGAGCATGTCGCTTCATTAAAATTAAAAAAATAAAAGTCCAGGAAGTATTTTTTTTTGTCTATGGTTGTATGTCAATAATTACGGAACTTCGGATGCATGCAAATGTCAAACGTTAAAGAAATGGTTGGACGCATGTGACTTACATGTTATACAAGCACTTGTGACGTATGATTACATGTGGCTTTATTATACCAAAAGTATGAAATATCTCCCAAACTACAGTATGTCATTTCTATCATTATAATTATAACTTTTTTATTAAAATAAAAACCGACCTTAACATTTCGTGGAATTCAAGTTTTATTGAAATCGGTTACCGGAAAGTGCGCGAAACCGAAAAATTCATCCCCTAGTTTATGCTGCCCTTAGAGGTGGAATATTTTCTTCAAATTTGGGAAAATGGACTAATACTGAGGTATCCTCTTTGCAACAAAAAAAGAATCGTCAAAATCGTCGGTTCACAAATGCGTAACATACACACAAAAAAAATACAGTCCAATTGTGAACCTCCTCCTTTTTTTGAAGTCGGTTAAAAATAAACGCCTTTTTGTTCAACGATTTTTTAAGACGAACATATATTCAGTTATAAAATGTATCGATTTCTAAAATTTGTGTAACAAAAAATTGTTGATTGCTAAGAATCTTGTACGAGATACAGAATATATCTCGCGCAGGATAGTTTATTACTCTTACCATGTCGCTGATTTTAAAAACAAATGTTATACTACAATAAGAGATATTTAAAAAATTCATAAATTTACAAAGTAGGTTTCATCAAATACTAAATTACAAAAATTGGGATCTACATCCTTTGTCAGAAATAACTTACTTAAAAAATCCACCCCTATATCAGTGTCTGGCTCAAAAATTACTACTACTTGAATGGCAATGGACACCTGCTGAACCAGACTCAACTCGGAGCGGAAATGAATGATAATTGAAATTTATGAAATTTAAAAAAAATACTAAAACTTATCTTTATCTTAAAAATATATATTATTATCACTAATGATAGGCTGCTTACCGCGATATAACTTTTTAACCAATATTCTTAATCACGAGATAACTGGGAAGAGGAATTTGACGACGGATGGATACATCTGTATACATACATATCTGTATACACAATACATATACTCCTTCACACAAGAAATCATGGAACATTCTTTTGGTGCCAACGTCTACGCTCTTTTGGTATTCTTGCGGCGTAACGCCGGCGTTACGATAGTAATTTTTTTACGGACGCCACACACCGTTTCCACGCGTAAAATTGCAAAGTGGAACCACTTTTAATATAAACTGTTAATATAACCGAATTCAAGATTAAAGGTCGTGAATGGTTTCTCATATTAAACGCGATACGTAGTGTATTTTGTGTATCGCATGTAATGTCGGTATATAAAATATCAGAAGAAGAATAAAAAATCATAGCGTGATAAAAATCTGTCATTATTGATGATAGTTCAGTGAAAAATCACGAAATTTTAAATGTAGAAGGTCAAGAGCACGTCAAGCTTGACACTTAGTCGATACTACCCCAGCTCGAATTCAGATTTTTCACGTGCTAATACGGTTCATTTTGCGACCCAAGCAAAATGAACAGTGACAGGGACACTGGCTTCAGATTTTTTTTTTACAAACGTAATTTAATCCATTACAAAAATGTATAACGTGTTCTGTTTAGTTCTGTTTAGTTCAGTCGTTATAAACAAACATCGTTGGTATATGTAAATATGTATTGAATACACCGGTTTTCTTGAATTATTTGGAGGTAACTTTGCGTTTTCTTTCTGTCGTGAAAATTTTTAGGAATAGTGTTTTTACACCATGTAATCAGTGTGTGTCCTCAATTTTACTATATATTTTTCCAAAGTGATTGATTCAACACTTTCACTATTACGCGGAAACATCCAAAGCCATTTGGGGTAGTACAGACTCTGAAGATTTAAATCTAACTCCATGCCGCTTACGATAAGAACGGTCCAAAGTACAAAGTGTCAAGCTTGACGTGCTCTTGACCGTACAAGATTGTTATGCTCTAACGATTTATAATGCTCATTGATTGTCAATTTTTCCGCCTGTTAGTTGAGTCAATTAGATACTGTGTCCATCCTCATACGTCCCACTACTGGGCATTGGTCCCCTCCAAAGTAGAAATTAGATTAAGTAATCAAACCAAAATATACGAGTAGTTATCACACTACACGTTGATTATATCTTTATTTGACTAGCAATTTTATTTATATCGACTATAACTTATCTATATTACATAATTACGTCTTATATACGCTGATAAGGTGTAATAATGGCGCCAGTAAAGATATATGACTTAAAATGAAAACCGCAATATTCTGAATTAGAAATCTTTTCTGTTATCGTTTATTTTAGGCATGTTATCAGTATCTTATCGACATGTACTCTGTGGTAAATTTTGCGCCACGCTAAATAAACTAGACTGTTCTTAGAAGTTCCCGCGCGTTTCCAGGTCATACTTTTTCAATATCATGTTGTAATGTGATAAAGTCGTAAAAATCATTAATGCACCTTTAAAGAAATTGTTAATATTTTGCCTTGTAAGAACCGTATAGGGCATTGAGTATTATATCTCTTATTGTTATTTAGAATGCACTGAAAGTAAAGTAGTATATTGTAGCTTACAAACATAGGTATGGTTTATTACATAGACTAAACACATCCAGTTCGCATTTAGTTTTATCACAATGCAAACACAACTAAAGAGCATTATTCGTAACAAATACGCACGCGAATTTATATCCATTAGCTTGTGCTTTCCTTTGTTTACAATACCGCTATTTAAGTTGAAGGTGTGATATTCATAGGTTTACTACAATTAAGGTATCGAGTTGGAGTAGGTTTGTGCGATTGCTACACATGTAATGAAACTTTTTTTTTTTCGGATATAAATCCAGTAATACCATCTAAGGCTGAGATTTATAAAACGAACTTTGGATGCTGAGCTAAGCAAGCTTTTCGTTTTTTTTTGTAACATCTTGCTCAAAGTTAAGTTAAGTTCGTGTGTCCATGAGACCTATTGAAAAAACAAAATATATGCGAGACTCTAAAACTGAACTTCGACACACGCGACTCCGATAACATGTTACATCGACATTCTTTTACTCAGACACTATGCTACATCGACAACACAGACGAGGTGTTTATTTAAAAAAATATATTAAAAATTTATTAAATATAATATAGGAAATCATTTCCTACGTTGGTTTGTGATGATGATTTTTCTTATCAGAGTACAAAGATTTTTTTAATTAAACACCTCGTCTATGTTGTCGATGTAGCGTAGTGTCTGAGTAAAATCAGGTCGATGTAACGTGTTGTCGGAGTAGTATAGTGTCTGTGTAAATTAATGTCGAAGTAACATATTGTCGAAGTAATGTAATGTCTGAGTAAAATCATGTCGATGTAACATGTTGTCGGAGTCGCGTGTGTCGAAGTTCAGTTTTAGAGTCTATATGCGATTTAAATCCGAATACAAAGTTTATTTTCCTATAATTAAAAATTACAACCAACTTTACACTCACTACTAGTATTGTTATTTATCAATATGTTCAATATAGTGTTTCCTGTTGCATTTTCATTTATCTTACTGATTGTGATTTTAAAAGCGTGTGTTCGATTAATTTACATCTGCTACTTTTCACGTGATGTAAATAAAGCCAATCGTTTGGATTTTCTTGTCCGTTATATTGGCCAGTTTGGAATTCTTATTGCATTCCTAATGAACTAACTACTTCTACTACTTATGTTATTTTGCGCATGATTAAAAACGGATTCAGTAAAGCTATTAAATCATGCACGTTCTAGAATTGTAGTTGTAATATATTTAGGCGTGTACGAGACCCAGTCCCTTGGTTTACAGTACGGCTAGCAGCGAGCTATCAGTGTTCAGCGGAATTAGAAAACACCCAGCTGTTGTAGGTGGGCTCTGACTTTAAGCACGCGCTTCGTGGACCTTTTTCGCGAACTGGCTTTATTTAGATTGTTCTTTGTGTAAGAAATTCCCGTTTCATTTTTAATTAACTATTTATTGTGTAGCTAAGTAAGGATGAAAGTCATTATGTCTTAGTCATTTTTGTAGATTTAGACAACGCTGTAATAGCGTCATGTTTGAAGTTTGATTTTTATTTGTACCTGCTCAAGTAAATAACCCTAAGGTAAAAAAGGAAATAATGAATTTAGAATAGAAATAGAGAAAGCCAACCACAACGAAATTTGTCTCGAAAGTTTCACGTCAATCGTAATAAAGTTGATGGCGTTGTGAATGATGACTGTTTATTTTTATTTACAATCCTCATCACATAGATGAGGATCATCACATTGTCTTCTATTTAGGTACGTTTTGTTATTTTTCTTCATGTGGTCTTTGTGTTTGTATCGAAATATAAGGTGTTTTTTTAATATAGGTGTTTTATTTAACCTCTTAAAAAGATATCTACCTACTAATCTTTTAATTGTTTCGATGGCATAGACTTGCTGGCCAGAATTATAGGACATATTTGCCATACCTAATAAATTGCAATTGCAAAATAAGAGTGGTTACACACGGTGACTTAGCAGCGATGCAAACGCGCGTTCAATGCATTGCTACACTTGCGATTTGAGTAGCAGAAGAGCTAGCTAGCTCCTTGTGAAAGAGTTCGTCTAGGGTAGTACTGCCACCTTACTTATTTCCGCCGCCAAGCAGTAATGTCAGCATTACTGTGTTCCGGTTTTGAAGGGTAGGTGAGATTACAGGCACATGGGACTTTTCAACTTACGTCTCAGGGAGACGAGCGCAGTGGCAGTGCCGCTTAGTTTACACGCTTTTAAACTTTTGCGTTGCATTACATTTTAGTAGTAGTAGAACTCGTTGTGAAAGGGTTCGTCCAGGGAAGTACTGCCACCTTACCTATTTTTGCCTGCATTAATGTCAGCATTACTGTGTTTCGGTTTTGAAGAGTTGTTGGTGAAACTACAGTTACATGGGACTTGTCACCTTACGTCTCAGTGTGACTGGCGCAGTGGCAGTGCCCCTCAGATCGTTGCAATTTAAAGCTCTGAGTGGCACTGTAACTGTTATGGACAGGCGTGTAGCTTACCACCAGGCGCATGACTTGTTCGTACCGTCACTTGATGTTATAAAAAAAAATTTGCACCGATACAAACGTGCGCTTGTATCGATGCAATACTAACGCGCGAATGCATCGATGCAATCGCCTATTTTATACCAAATGTAGCTATTCGATCGCGCGTTTGTTTCAACGCAGTCGCGCGCTTGCATCGCTGCTTAAAAGCGCGCGCGTGTGTAAAGGTAGACGATTAGCGACTGCATCGCGTTTGCATCGCTGCTAAAAGTAGCCGTGTGTAAGTGCTCTAATAATTTGCACCTTGTCTTGGTGTAATTGCCACATTTGCAAAGAATACTTTTCAAGACAGATGTTTAAATAACTATTTTATGGTTAAATAGGAGAGTTATAAAATTTCATATACATACTATAATTTGTAAAATTTCACGGTTCTTATTTTTATTTTTTTTATGACTATCATGATCATAGATTTAGTATACTATATACCTATATACTAAATCTATTGTTTGTAAATGAATTGTGATAAATTGGCGTATGATCACCTCGCTTATTATTCCAAGGGTACGAATTGTTAGGTACATACGGGTTCTAGTCGCGGCTAAAAGGTTGTGGTCTATGTAGTTTTTATTGAAAATGGACATGTCACCTTTTACATACTCGTACCCATCGCACCCCTCATGGAAGAATGGCTTAAGTTACGTCAAAAATGTTTATTGAGTTACAAGAACGTTACAAGAATTGGATATAGAGTTATAAGAATTGGAGAGGATGTAGGTTATTTATATTTTTCTGTATGTAATGGAGCAATAAACATTTTTGGAGAAACTTCAGTTATGCTCCTCATCCATGAGGGTTGCGACTTGATGCTCTTCTTATGAAGAGCTAAGTGCCGAGCTTCATGCCTAATTTTTTCTCGTTGCAGCCTTCTCAGACTTGCTACTGCCCTTCGTCTTACTGTTAATACTTCCTTAGACTATGGAAAAAACTTCTTACTTTATCCATAGAGAAAATTTATAAACCAGTACATAATTTGAAGACGTTTGTAGTCTAAGTTTGTAGTCTTATTTCTACGACTTCCTATTAAATTTACATGATGCGTTAGCAACCAAATCTTGCGTAAACATATAAATAAACATCATGACTGTCTCCAAAAACAACGTAACCTAATCACTGTTGTGACTTATTTATAGTAAGGTGTTGAAGTGTGAAATTGCCGCTCTACATATATATGTATAATGTTTATAATACAAACATGAAGCTCCTTTATTCCTCTGCAGTAGGATAATGGGAGATGGGAATTCAGTCTTGACTCTGTTTTTCGACCGGTTACGGGACTAAATTGTTTTTACATTAAATTGCGTAAAAAGTGTTAGTCGGTAAGGGTCAGTCCGTATGTCGAATGCAGAGATGGGCAGTGGGTTAAAACTTAATCAACCCGCCCGGGTTTTAACCGGGTTTTTATTTCAAGCGCCGGGCGTTAACCCATTACTTCCCCACAATCGTCGGCAGAAACGACTAATACGACATTTGGTATAATTCCATACTTATTACAAATTTCAATTAAGTTAAGAAATCTTTTATGACAAAAACGAGAAAACTTCACATAAAATCCACCCATAAGGATGCACATTACCTATGTTCGATTTTTATGAAGATCGATTCAAGTGCGTAAGGTCTATCTAACAATATTTTGTATCGATTGATTTATATATATTGTACTAATAAACGATTTTTAATACAATTTTCAAACGAATCGATTCAATAGAAAAGCCAACCAAATCGTCTATATCAGAAATTTGAACGAAAGTACTAAAACAACACCACAAATATTTAGTTGTAAATAGTTTTTGCCCGATTTTAACCCCGCGCCAATAAAGCGCTGGGGCACTTGCTCGTCTCTGGTCAATTTTTTGATTGAAGCTCTTGCTTCAATCTGCATTGAAGCTCTTGCTTCAATCTGCA